TAAAATTGTTGGATTATGTTCCTAAACTTTTTCATTTGAAATAGTTTGATTCTTCATTTAAATTTAAATGTGAAATTATGTTTGATGATGTTCTATAACATTTAAAATGGTTTGATTTGGATCAGTTGGCCCAGCGGATGCTGGAGGCATTCGGATACGAGGATCCCCTTGCCTACCTTGGCGGGATCACCGACTGGGTGAGCCACTTCGGCTCCACAGAGAAGATCCGGAAGGGAGACGGAGGGGAGTCGGACTCCACCGACCGGTTCGCCCGGCCCCACGAGCGGATGCGATTCTCGGAGTCGGACGACCGGACCAGGCCCTTGGAGCACGGCGACCGGGCTCGGCCCTTGGAGCACGGCGACCGGGCCCGGCCCTCGGAACAGGGCGACCGGGTGAGATTCTCCGAGCCGATGCATCAGACTCGAGTCGTTGCGTCGCAGGACATCAAAGGCAGAGTCGGTGCGTATTTATTAATTAATTATTAATTACTTATTCTTTACTATCTTTATTACAGCAGTTGCTCGAAATTTCGGTCGCAATCACGGCGAATTCTATTGCGTTTGAAAGATCTCTTCTCGAAGGAGGACACTTGCAGGAGTTTCCTTTGAGCAAACAAGATGGAAGGACTCTTCAACGAAAAGAGATGAAAATAAAAAATGCAAATGAAAATTAAATTTCCGAAAATACATAAATGTATCATTTGTTTATATCTCAGCCGAGCTAATACTTTCAATCGATTGCTGATTACATTAAATCGACTTCACTCAACCGCGCATAAATTTATCCAAAACTGTGATTTTTTTTACTTAGACGTGTCGTACGAAGAACTGTTGGAACGGATGAAGGACCAGAAGACTCTCTTCATCGACGTCCGGAACCGAGAGGAGTTCCAGAGGACCAGCTCCATTCCCCGGGCCGTCAACTTCCCCTGTGAGTCCCGTCGAGTCTCCTCTGCTCTGGGTTTATATAATTTATTTTCAAAAATTTGTAAATTTGTGTTGGGAGGGAAATGCTTTTGTCTGTGGACCGTATTTACAATGTTGTGAAAGCGAAGAGTTTTTAAATGCGTATAATTGCAGGGAAAATCGCTTGGAAAATTTGGAAGGCAAATTTATAAATCACACGAACTTCCGTACAAATCGATAAATATTTCCCCCGATTTCAAATTTGTGGCAACCGATTCGTCGTTCCCGACCAGGGACGGACATCGCGTCGGACGTGCGCCTGCCCCCGATCGATTTCTACCGACGCCACGGCTTCTTCCTCCCGACCTCCAACTACCACCGCATCGTCGTCTTCGGCCAGAACGTGACGCAGGGGCTCCGGGCGCTGGAGCTCTTCCACTCCGCGAGCTACCCCGTCTGCGACGTCTACGCGGGGCTCGACGACTGGCGACGGCGATCTTCTCCCGGCCTCGTCGATGACGACCGCGTCGGTGAGACTCGTCAAATAAGGGTCAACAAGGGATCATTATGGAGTTATTATTAATAATATTTAAACAAGTAATGGCTTTTAAATAATGACGATTAAAAGTGATTAAATAATTAAATAAATGTAGGTTAATTAATCATAATTGATCAAATACAATTAATGATGAGTGAATAATTAGCAGAATCATTTATGCAATTTAAATCGTCTTCGAGAGAGGACACGCTTCTGCTGATGTTTCGACTCAAAGAACTCAGGAAGTCCCTGACGATTTACCCCTGTGATGATCCAGGGAACCACGTGGACTCCGAGGACAGGCGAAGGGTCTTGGAACGCGAGAGCCAGCGGGAGAAGGAGAGAGGAGAGAGAGAGACGAAAGGGAAGGCGATACGGGAGAGCCGGCCCCGCATGAGCTCCTCCCTCCTGGCGAAGGTGGACCTGAAGGTGCTGCCAGAGCCGATGGACGACGAGGTGAACGTCGTCCTCGTCGGGTACAACACGACCGTGATCGCGGGGGCCGTCCGATCCCTCCAGAGGCTCGGGTACAACAACATCTTCATCTTCGCGGCAGACAAGGAGACCCAGACCTTCCCACGTACGGTCTTCTTTTTCGCTCTCGAATTTTGTGCCCTCGGTCGGTTTGACCTCGTTCGACGTCCGTTTAGTAAAATACAGAATCGAAGCATAAAGGATGCCATAAAGACCGATTCCTGCTGCTACCTCTATACACTGAAATATTGTCGAGTCAAAACCATATTGCTCAGACCTTCGGGTAAGTCAAGTCCGAAAGAGATGTGAAAAAATCAGCCTCGACACAGAAGCCCCCACCCCCATCTCCATCCCCCTCCCCCCCCCAACTCCACCCTGACTCACGAGTGACCGCGATGGGATTTCAGGGACGGAGGCAGCGAATCGCATCCGAACGGCCCGGAAGGAGGAGGCCCCCCCGGACCTAGTGACGAGGACGAGCAACAGCTTCTTCACCCAGCCGCTCAGGGAATCGCAGTCGTCCACGCCAGCTGGTCTGTCCCGTCCACATGCCCATTCTCGCCCCTGGTTTTGTCCACATATAGATTAAGGGTTCTGCGGTTCAATTTTCAGTTACCAGCTTTCCGATCCTCGAGAGTTGAAAAATTATCCCAACTCTAGAATTTGGAGGTGCTACTTGAATTTTTTTTAAAAGGGTGACAATTTTCTACGTTTTGAGAAACACCATCAGAATCTGATTCGGGTGTAGATATGTGACTTTCTACATAATGCATTTATTTATGATACATCATGCTGAAAGTAGACTTTTACATGTCGATCCTGGTGGGTTTTTTTTACTCGTTCGAATTCCTGCAGAGACCAATCGCTCACATGTGATCTGTGCCACGATGAGCGAATATTTGAGTTCCTACTCAAATATTGCATCATGCCATTATTGTGCAAATATTCCCTCTGCTTTCAACAAAGTTAATTACTAGCGACTTGTTGCTGCCCAATCGGTGGGAAACGGTTTCTCGACTTACCTTGATAGACCTTTTTCCCTTATCGACAACTGCCGTGAATTCAATGTTTTTAAGCCGAGTTCGGAGCCTCCTTCGTTGATGAGAGGAAGTTGGTTTTAATCGGGTTTACATCTTGGGAATTTCCAGCGCTCACCGACGATGACGAGCTACAGAGGCGAATCATCCGTCATCTTACTTCTCTTGTGGAAACCTTGTTTGTTCGAGTAAACGCCAGATGGCAGGGCTGCAGCTGCATCAATTCATTACCATTTTGTTTTACCTATAACTCTTGAGCACGGGCACCATGGGCCCATGGAAATGTTTATTTTACTAGTCGATGGCAATCTAATGACACTCGTGAGGTCAGAAGACGTGATAGGCAACTTTAATCCATTGTAAATTACGTTTTTCGCAAAAATAAGAAAAACGGTACGTTGGCACAAGTTTTGTCTTCGAGAAGGATAAATACTCGGATACCAATAAATTATTTTGAACAATTTCAGCGCTCTTTAGCTGGCGGTTTGAGTGCTGGAGCGCTCATACACACCCACAGACAGACGGACAGGCGAACAGACAAATGACGATATGAAGTTTGCTGTGGTAGTCAATGCCATATGTTGAACCTTCACTCCGGTTTGAAAAATAACTTTAAAGCGACTGATTTACTCAAGATAAGAAGTGTGACGATGAGAAGTTTCTTGAGTTTGAGCAAAATGTCTTGTGATTTCCAGTAGAAAAGAACGAGGAAGAAATCGACTTCAAGACGTTGTACAAGCTGGTGTCCAGCGGGGAGGCGAAGGTGATCGAGGTCAGGAGCGCGGCGGCCGTTCGCAGATTCGGCAAGATCCCCGGTTCAGCCATCGTGCCACGTCAGCGCTTTTTTCATTTCTATCAAAAGTATTTAATATACAGTATAAATAGTCTGAGATATAAAAATCTGTCCGTCCGATACCGTGCGGCTGCGAAGTAGTCTTGAGCACCGTGAAAACGTCGAAAAGGTCGAATAAATGAGACGACGAAATGCAACAGTCGAGTTGAAAGTTCCACGAAACGAAACTTGAAAATTCTCCCCAAAACTTGCAGTGTGGGATCTCCGCGAGGTGCTGATCATGGATCCCGAGCTGTTCGAGGCGAAGTACGGCTTCAAGAAGCCCCTCCGCGATGGCTCCGACCTCGTCGTGTCCTGCGACCGGGATGAAGTGGGACGGGAGGCCCTGCGTCGCCTCCAGATCCTCCGCTACGACAACGCCTTGCTCTTCCCCGGGTGCTTCCAGGAGTGGATGGACAACGGGGGGCCCGTCGAGCATCTCGGACCGTCTAGTCCGTCCATATATTTTTTTTATTTCCTGTCGAAATGTCTCGAGGATACATTGAAAACTTCAATTTTATAAAAAAAAATGCAAATAAAAGTGAGAAAAACTTAAGATCAGGCTTTTCAGGAAATGTTGCACGTGGTCAAACCAACAGCTTTACGTAAAAATTCATCTTTTATCCTACCAGTTATCATAAATTAGTGATTCGATGAGATCTCCAACTCCCTTTCGAGATTCTCTTAAAGTAAAAGCATTGATCCTAAAAGCCCAAATTTTTTCTCTGTGAGTTCAGCCTCGCACTGCTTTTTAGGCCAGATGATTCCAGACATAAGCCACCTCAGTTGAATGAAGCATCGAAAATATGCAAACATGAAGCCCCATGTAGTCTTTCGATGAGAATCCGTGAAAGTTTGACCGTTTGCAGGGATCACACCGAGCGAGCTGCAACGTCTGATGGCGAGGGGAAACGCATACGTGCTTGACGTCGGAGATCCTGAACTGGAAAACAGGAAGCCCTTCCCCCGAAGCGTCCAGATCCCATGTGAGAACCCTCTTATTCCACCCTTTTATGCCAACCTTTTGTGCCAACATTGTATGCCAACCTTTTGAGCCAACATTGTATGCCACCCTTTCATGCCACTCTCCCATCGGTTCGATGATTGCACCTCTGCGACAGTCTCCCAGCTGCCGACGGCATTGAACCTGAGCGCTCAGGACTTCCAGGTGATCTACAGCCACCCCCGCCCCGATCCGGCCGGAAAGGAGACGATCGTCGTGACGGCGCCCAACGCCCAGACCATCCTGGATGCCGCCAAGGTCCTCATGCAACATGGGTACCACAACATTAGGCAAGTTTTCTGCCTCCATTGTAACATCCGATCACATAAATAAACTTTAACTATATATTTAGCACCGTTAAAGCAATTCCCTTTCCTTGGGAAATATGCAAATCATTAGTCTTCAAGCATGATAAACAATATATTTTTTTTCTTTTCTTAGAATGTTTTATAGCAAAGCTCGATGATGAAAAACGGATGAAGATGACGGCAGGGATCTGCACTATATTGGTGTTGGTTGTCCTTATGAAGTGCCATCGGTATTTCACATTGTACCTTATTTCTTATCTCTGCGAATAAATTCATCATATGCAACCTGGCAAAACATGGCGTCAATATCCTTTCCTGCAATCGGATTGAGCGAGTTTTTATGACAGGTGAAATTTGAAAAAAGCTGTTCCTTCAATATTTATATCAGTGGAATGTTCTTACGTTTGATGCTGGGTCAGCAAGGGTAGGGTTAGAATCCTTCTAGCCTGTCTCCATCTTTACAATCTGGTTCCGAAATGAAGTAGAAATTAATGAGAGACTCTGCGACAGACTAGAATATACAGTATTTGGAATTAGAGACGATCTGCAGGGAATTTCCGAACGGACCATACTGGAAGTTTCCTGAAAAAATTCCATTCATGAGCTGTGTTAACTCTAACCTTGGGTTTGGCTAAGCCAGCCACTGAGAACTGAATTTTTTAATTCGAAAGTAGCAAGAAGGTGAATCGAGTTTTATTATTATCTGGCATTCCCATAGGTACTGTACTATGGGGAAATGCCAGATATTGCGGTCGGTTTGTCACTTTTTTTTCTTTTTTTATTTTTCATTCCGTCTGTCCGCAGGAACCATAACGACCGGACAACACGACCCAATGCGCACGCGCAGCTTTCCGCCTGGGTCGGGGTGCCCGTCTTTCACGAAAACACCCACTTCCCTTCCAGCCCTGGCGGTTGACGGATACATAGTAGACAATGGAGGAGAGAGGCTGCTTGCGGCCGCGTAGACAGGGTGGTTATGGTTAAGCGCACACGTGAAATGCTGTATCTGGCATCCTATACTTCATACTGTCCACCCATCTCCACGCGACGTGGACGCGCGGACCATCGAGGACGTGTCTTGTTGTCTAGGACTTTTCACAAAGGCCTACGCCGAACCACTGACTGACTATTTATTTCAAGTTTGGATGGTTAGGATGCGGTGAAAATACGAGGTTTGATCCAAAAGTTCTCAGACTGTGGCGATAAAACGGAACAGGGTGAACTTTGGGAACAGGAAGAAGTCGCAATCTCCATATCTGGAGAATACGAGTTTCTAGATATGGCTCCCTGCGACTTGAAGATTCCTCTGAAAGGAACGTGATATTGAAGCCATCGATCCAATTAAAGAAAATGCGACGCGAGAACTGAACGCCATCCCAAAAGAAGTCTTCGCGGCTTGCTTCAGGAAGTGGAAAGGTCGCAGGAACCAGTGTACTAGGTATACATGCCCAAGGGAAGTACATCGAAGGTGATAACTAACATCAAGAGGTAGGTTCACCCTGTTCTGTTTTATCGCCACAGGCTGAGAACTTTTGGATCACACCATGTATATATTAATTCCAGTGGTACAGGGGCCTGTGGAATGTCAGATCTGTATCTGGGCTGGTACTCTCTAGTTTTTATTTCAACGTTGCCTTAATATGCATATCGAAAGGTACGATCGTGTTACTTATTCGAAGGAACGCCTCACCCTTTGTTCTGGTTGGGAATTAATTGAATTCGAGACTGAGAGCCATCCAGTGAAAGGTATCATTCGATGTTGCGAATTGTCTGTAGATTTAATGGTATGGGCATTCTTTTTATCGGTGACACTCCGTGCAAATTAGACCCCAATTCGAAGCGACGGCAAGAAATGAGCTGTCGACGGCTAGGGAAACTCGCTTTAAACGATGCAGGGGAACTGGGAAAAATTATGGTTAGAGGTTTGGAGACGAACACAAAGGGTGGATGGGCTGAAATTGAAATGACAGCTTTCCAAAGTCGCTGAATCTGGAACGGACATCCCAGTTTATCCATTATTATATTTCAGGAAATACTGTACAAGTTATGCTCCTATTAATTAGAGTGAATAGTGGCATACTGAATGGGAGAGTGGTCGAATTTGTGCACCTTTTTGCCACAGGTTATACAATTTACTTTTCAACTGAAAATTTTCTCGGAACAGGTAAAATGAGAACCAGTCACGATTCTCAGGGTTGCCAATTTGAAAACTTTATGCATTTCCGTGCTATAATTAAATCAGCTCTTTTTAAGGGTGTCCAATTAACCCGCAGGGTCGGGTTATTTGGGCAGCCCGCGGTACTCACGGAATGGGAATTTTAAGAATTTCTGGTTGCCTGCGAACTTTCAATTTTTTCTTGAGGAACTGGATTGACATATGTGGAACATTGTGCACTGCTTTGAGTAGAACTTTTACTATACTATAATCGGCTAATTTCATTCTTATACTATGATTTCACTTAAACTTCCCTGACACGTGTAGAATGGCATCTGCAGATGAAAAAGTTATCGGATTGGTTTGCCTTCTTGATTCTGCCACTTTTAGGCCTACATTCTTCGGTAACATTCTTTAGGCCATAATCAGTGGAACCAATAAGAGAAACGTATTAGGATATTCGGACATGGGGTGCTAAAATGACCCATTGAGTATTATTATTTCATATGATATTGAAACTGACAAGCTGAAAGTATCAACAAGAGTGGCATTTTTTGATATCACAGCATAATTAAGATAATATGCAAGACTGACAAATGAACAGCATCACCAACTAAGCACAATTCAGTTCAGGAAACTGTTAAAATTACTTAAACAGTTGTAGGTTTTCGAGGCATTTTAAATTAAGAGCTATTACACTTCGAAAACAGTTTCTTTGTAGTATACGTATATAGCACTTTCGCACAAGATAATAATATTGTCCCTGTTTCGTCTTAGCGTCACCGCTCCAAGAGGTATGCTTTTAGATGGGACGCCCAAATACCTCGACCTGCCCAAATTCGACCACCTACGGAAAAGTGGAATTCGACAAATTTTTTGTTTCACTTATGCTAAATTCCATTCAAAACATTCCCTCTTGAGTGAGAAGTGATGCGGAGACAAAATGAATCTGAAAGCCGTGACATGAGCAAATGAATGGCATTGAACAGGTTTGCTTGAAGGGAGGAAGTTCTAGCCTATTACAGTGATTTTATCCCCTTTCTTCTCCCAAAGAGAACCCGTGAGAAACAATGGCTTTAATTTTCTTTCTCATTTTTACACTTCAGAATGGCATGAATACTGAGAGGATGTCCTCCGTATCATGTGAACCGGAAGGAGCGGAAAGAGGCTATTGAGCGTCTTCAATGTTTGCCAGGATACTTGGAGCAAGAGGACGTTTAGCTCCAGTTGGAAGTTTAACATGAAGACTAGATTATGCTAACCATCCACTGTATTACATATCAAGAAAACATCTCATACCTCGTATTTGCCTTTCTCCTTCGTGTATGAAGCTATTGTTCAACCTTAACATCAGGCGTAGGAGAACAAAAATGCATATGAAATGGTCAGTAGTCATCTTAAAAAGCTGAATGTCGCCGGATTTATCCCATGTATTGGTAAACGAGAGTACCATCGAGAATAGCTTTCGAAGTGATGACTGAAGTTAAGCGGCTAGGCGGGCAAATCGGGTTTTGTGCTAAGAATGCGACTTCGGAAAACTGTCTAATTCCTCATATTGGGAGGAAATACCTGAAAGGAGGGGCAAGGATGTTGAAAAATTTTCGAAAACTTGTTCCAATGATCGTGAATGATCTATATTTTAGCCTCGGAATAAGTCAGTTAATGTTAGAATATTTTGCATTGTTTGTCTTCCTACTTCCGCGGTACTGGGCAAGTAGTCCTTCCTGTTCTAGTGCATGAATGCTCTGTGTCTTTTTTTGGCAAGTATTCTGTCTCTGAGTACGCTATGAGTTCCTTTACAGGGACGTGAGTCATTAGCAGGGTTCACATTAAGAGGAAGATAGATGTGTATTTCATTAGAAATCCTTTCTTCGCCTGGCGAGACTTATTCAAAATGCACAAGCGCCAATGTGTGATAATGCTGAAATTTACTGTAGAATTTTAAAATCAATTTTTTTTAATTACAAAATTACGTTTTTTAAATTTAAATTGTACCTTTAAAAATTTTAATTCAACTTTCTTTGATACTTAATTTACTTACTTTTTTCTCGGCGTCAAGGCTCTGTCATCCCACACGTTCTGACGGCAACTATTTCGTACTTTGACTCTAAAATTAAATGAAAACTATAAAAATGTTCTTCAAGGGCTGGGAATAAGTTGAACGCCTTTTTCTTGGAAGTCCAATCAGACCCTATATATTGGGGCTGGGACACAAAGTGCTTCACCACATCCATGCTAATATCCCAATTTTAAGGATATCCCTTAATTTTCTTGGCTCGGATTCAGAATCTCTCAGGCGAGTGTTTTTGAGGTCGGTCGCACCGGTTTCGAGTTTCTGATTTTGAGCAACGACTGTTGTGCACTGGAAGGACATTGGCACGGAGATGCTCGCAGAGCGTAATTCCTTGACTCTGTGGTCGTGACGTAGAAACGGCGCACATCAACAAGAGGGGGAGTTTCGGAGTTTAAGCTTTTCAGTTTTTCAGAGGTTTTCAGTTGTCATTATCCCCTCTTCAATTTATTCCATTCTTATCGGATCACGACTTCGATAGATTCGATATTTAGATGTATAGGACCGGTAAACGTGAAATGTGATAATCCGAACCATTACCACCCTTCACGTCCCCCTACCTACCTACCTAAGCGTACATGTAGTTTTTTCTCCTGCTTCCAACATTTCTCACTGCAAGAGAAACTAAAGCATTTATGGACGTTCGTGTCCATGACTTGTAAACTGCTACAAAAAGCATGTAAGTGAGATTGCCACAACCTCTTGTGTAATTTCCAACATCGAGGACTTTCCATCCATCGTGACCCAAAGGCTCTAGGATATGATTTTGCCCTGTACTGTACGATACATTGAAGTAAACACATCGTAAGGGCAGAGCGAAATAAACGAAGACATGTTATTTCCAAATGTCATCAAGTCTGCGAAAATTGGATCGCAAAAAAAGGTAGATTGAAGCATAATTAACACAGAATCTTATTCCCTGAAAAAGTTCATATGTGAGAAATGCTTAAAGAAAGGAAGGTAGAAAAAATCATGTTCTGTTGAATCAGCTGGATTATCACGATAACCACTAGCTCATGAGAGAAGAGATATATCTCAGGAAACTGCAACGATGATGAAACACCTAAAAAATATGTGAGTATACCCTATCTTTGGTGCATATTCAATTAAAAATCTCTCATCAGGCTATGAAATGTAAATAGGTGAACATTTCTTTAATCTAAATCCTCTTCTCTAATCGTCATTCCATCAATTGCTTCTATGAGGGCTAAGATCTCCCTCCCGAAAAGGTCTTCCTCTTCTTCAGACAGACCATCCTGCAAATATTTCTGCCCGGAGAAATATAACTTCATCCAAGAGATAGGATCGGAAAATTTGGAGGCAAGTCGTTCCCACGCCAGGGACCTGAGTCTGATATTGAATAAATAGCACGTACTCCTCGTTCTCTCCAGATAAGAAAATGGGTTTAACGCGAAAGCGTCGGTGAACGGCGACGAGATGAGGAATACGATGTGGGCCTCGAGACCCTTGAAGCCCCAAGAAGTGTCCACGATGACGTCGTCACCATCCCGCTTTTGATCCGCCGCCCTTCGACCGCCAAGCTCCTCCAACATCCTTCCGCCCCCGTACTCTGAGAGCATCTTCTCGCTGGGATAGAGAATAGCGACTGAGATGTCTCTAGGACTAGGGAAGACGTCGTGAAGGATTCCGCCGACCAGCTTCACGATGGATTCTGCATAAGGTGGAATCA